CGCCGCTCTTGGCCAACTAATTGGAAATTTAAATGCTGCTCCTGCGCCAACTGATGCTGCCACGCCTCCGCACCGCCCACGCCGCCCCCGACCGCTGCTGTGGCAACGTCTCATGTCTAATTAAACGTGAAAATCCTTGACCTCTAAACCTTTTGTCAGAGCTTCGCCCGGAAAACTCCCACAAGCCGGGGGAAATCGAAAGAACAGGAAACGAATTATTTGCGTTGACAATACTTTGACGGTGTTTTTCCGTGCATTCTCCACTGAACTAAATAATCACTTGTTTATCATGGTACTTTAGTTTCCAAATCTAATCTGAATGGATCACGAACTTTAAAGTTGTGCGTTTCTGAAATGTAATAATTCTTATTATAGTGGGATCAATAAATCTCAGCGTATGCTGCCACTTTTTGGCTGGCTTTCCTACCTTTTTCTGGCTGTGTAGGCGTCCTTCTTTTCTGGTTTTCAAGGGGTAGTCGCTCATATCGAAAACTTGTAGGGGTAGGGCCACATTTGCCATTGTTGTTTCAAATGGCGTCACTGTTGTTGCAGCAATTGTTGAAAACGCAATTTCGATTCGAGACGCCCTTCGTCGGGGCTCGGGGCTCGGGGCTAGGGGCCTTCCCCTCATTTCAGTACGTACATTCTCGTGTTTTGTATTTTTGTATTTTTGTTTGGTCCCCCGCCACTTGAATCGCATTTCAGCTGGAGTGTGAATCATTTCCGTTCGAATTTGGTTCATTGCATGATTTTCACATTAAGCTGAGCGAAACGGGACGAGCCGACGGAGGGTTAAGATCTTGGCTAGCAGGACCCTCTCTTGATTGTGTTTTCCGCAACTTCAACTTCTTCTCGAACGCAATTATTGACGTGTGCCCCTTGAAAGAGTGCAACAACGAGAGTCGTTTTCCTTCATTTCATCTCCACTGATGTTTAAGCAGTTGGCGTACCCTGCTAACTTAGTAGCCTGCCTAACTCCTTCAGGAATAAATAATAATTGAACTAACCTATCTTTAGAGTAAATTTGAAGGGTACATAGCGTACATATGCATGTTCTTTGGCAAATGGATAGAGTTTGGGATGCAGCTCAGCAGTGGGGATGCCTCTCCCTGGCAGGCAGTTCTCCCAATGGGTAGCAGGAGTGCGCTACGGTTTCTGGGCACTCGGAACTGTTTGCGCTCGAACGGTTTGAGTAGCATAATAATTGCCCTACTAGCGGCGGAAGCGGAAGCGCTCATCACGCATCCACCTCCCACTCGAGCCTCTCTCTCTCTCGCTCGCACCCACTTGAAATCGAACAGAAAAACAGTATTTCTGGCCTGACTAAATAGAAGTATCAACGCCGAAACTCAATTTCCAAACAACAACAACCGGCGGGCTTTACACAAATATTTCAAACGCAAATACAATAACACGGCCATCAGGCGCTAAGCACACACAACTTTAATACCTTAAATGTTCTATTGAAGAGCCTGGGCGAACAGCCTAATATATGTACGTACAAAAAAGAGCTGATGGTAACAAAACACATAAACCGGCGGAAGTGCCAAGCGCTACAGAATTTTTAGGCCATAATTGGAGACTGGGTAACAATGGGTTAAATCGGAGACAAGTATATGTATGGTAAATACATATGTATATTCAAGAAATGCATAAAACAAATGCAACTTATGGGTTTTTACTCCACAATAGGAAACTTTCATCACTAAAAAATTATTGGTACTGCCAGATGGGAAGGAGCTGCTTATTAATTAAATTAAATTGCATATTTATTGGAAAAATATTTTGGAAAAAATATACTTCTTTTGAATGTTTTTTATACCACACATTCATTCCATTGTACTCGAGGCGGCGCTTCCTTCCAATTTTCAGCTGTCATCGGCCACAAAATAAAAAAAAACAAGAGCGTCTCGAACAACTGCAATCATAACAACACTAAAGAGACAGAACACAAACGAAAGCAGCAGCAAAGTCATAAAAGGGCAGCCAAAGATGAAAACTAGAACCTGGGGAAAGAAACCGATGGAGGAGGGGGAACGAGGGGGAAGGAGGAGGAGGGCCCGGGAAAGAATTGTACAAACTCTAAGTCAAAAACTCTCGTTCGGATTATTTGGAGTGCGGCAATTAGTTCAAGCTTCCGCTTCTCTCTCCCCCTTTCACTCATAAAAAAGACTTTCTTTGACGGTGATCACACAGTGCTGCATCTCTCACTCCACGTGCGCTCTCTTTGTTATCTCTCTCTCTCTCTTCTCAGTTCTCGATTATGCGGAAACAGCTTCGGTGGCTTAACTACAGTTAGTATACATTGTGATAAAAAAGCAAGTTATTTATAAATATACGTACCTATAAACCCATTTTTCTGATGACTGATAAGAACGGGAATGTCATATATCCCCAACTGTTTTTTGCCAGGTAACCAGTAGAAAAATAAGTCCTCTCGAAAATCCCCTCCTAGAAAAAGGGCACATACCAGGTTTTCACTGTACTACCTCAGTCGGCATTTCCGCCTCGTCGCTCTTTGGCCCCCCTCTCTGCTCAAAGTCGTTTGTCGCCTCCACTAAGTAAGTAATCCCGATAAATAAGAGGAAGAGGCGAACGAGCATCCAAAATCCCAGGAAATATGCACAAAATGTACATAAATTCGTTTGCCATGGGAAAGCAAGCTGATCCACATGGACACGTGTGTCCCGCTCTGTGTCGTCTCTCCTCCCTCCTCCCTCCCCCCTTCCCTCCCACTCTCCACACTCCGCACCTCAGCATACCGCTCGACTACCTCATCTGCCGCTCTTGGCCATTTATTCCCATTCATTCAACGCTTCATTGCTGCGGTAATTGCTTCCAAATGCTTAAACGCCTGCATTGTTGCTGTCCCACGAGACACTGTGAGAAATTTTCGGGTGCCCCAGTTGGGAGTGGCAGCCTAAATATTATTGAAGTCCTATGTTTTGTTCGAAAATTCATAGGTTAGGTGAGAGTTTTCCTCGAATAAAAGGGGGAGAAGGAAAAGTACGCAGACTTGTTTTGAAGCGCAGAGAACTCGCAGTATTTGTTTGCAGTGCACCCTGATTCCTTGCTGCCCCACTCGGCACTATCTCTTCCGACTTCCAGTTTTCGGTTTCAAGTTGGGATGTCCAACATGTGTCGTCGTCATTGATTTGTTGTTGATGGGCATGCGACGGCTGTTGAGCCGTGCGAGCAAGACGGCCGATGGGCCCCGGCATCTGCCATCCCGCTCTTTTGGCATTCGTCTGTCAAAACCCAGAAATCAGAGCCAAAAAAATGATAAGCGAAACCAGATCCCGTCCCGAAAAACCTCAAAAGAACGCCCCTTTTGTTTTGGTTCTAGTTTCTGTTTTTGGAGGCGTTTGTCGTAGTACTGGTCTAAAAAAACATTTTCGCACTATCGGCCAGGCAAGATTTTGTGGCCTTTGGGACTTTTAATATACATATGTATGTACATAGGTATGCATAGTATATATTTAACTTTAAATTACCTTATTCACATGAAAACAAAATCAACCAATTATTGCAGTATGTTTATGTGATCCATTTGGTTTTGATTTCTACTGGTTCATTAATAAATATGCTTTATGCGCTCCAAATATGTTATAATATACCAGGTTAGTAAATCGAGTAATGCTGTGTGACGAAGAAGATAAAAAAGATAAGTTCTCAGTTGCATTCTGGGCCACTATTAATAATGGTAGTAAACATGTGTTATGGCTCCTTTTCCCTGTTCTGCTCTTCTTGCTTGTGCATTTTATTTAAATTTGTTAACCCTGTTCCCATTCGCAGGGAACAATAAGAGAACGAGATTCCAGCGGCGCGAATTGTCAATAGTTACCTGAACTGGATGCCTGGGAAAGAGGGGAAAACGTTTTTCGAGGGGAAAGTCACGAGATCGCAGGGAAAACAGTGAGTACATTTGCACGTCTTAAAAGGAACAAATTTGTCCAAAAGAATATTAGATCCAAAAAGGAGTATACATCGTTAACTTGGTTAGTAAAACATAATTTTCATAATTTCTTAACGGAATTTAACCTTGTAATTAATTTGATATTTTCCACCGATGTCTCACTGTACCTTCTAAGCATATGGGTGATCCATTCTCTGGTTAAAACGGAGGTGGGACTTTTTTTAGTTAGTGTTTCCTATCAGTGTCAGGGAAAAGAAGTTATTTAGAAAAAATGGGACCGGTAATTAACGTTATTTGTGTGTAATATTATTTACGTTTTGAACCCAAATTGGGAAATAGGTATGAGGGCATATAATCTGCTGGCTTAATGAGGCTGTGATAGTTTTTACATCTTCCCAATTCTCGTCTCGAGTCTTGTGAGTATTTATGTATGCAAATGTGCGTGTATTTCGATGTGGAGCACGCTGTTGACGCCGTCACTTCTCCGCGGCACTTCCGTTTGTTTTCCCTGGGAGCTGAAGCTGCATCTGCCGGCCACCAATCAAGATTTTAATGCGTCGGACCGATGGCTAATTTATGCCGGGCTATAATATCACTTAAGCCCCCCGATCCCCCGATCCCTCGATGCCCCGATCCGGCGATATGTTCGGATAGCATAGCAGAGGCCCGAAACGGCAGGAATGTTACCGAAGGCAGCGCTGTTATATCCTTCACAGGGAGCCAAGGCGACTGCCAACGAGCAACGACCTGGTTTAAATCACGAGGCTCGGCACCTCGTGCCCTCTCGTTCGAATTTAGTACAGAATGCGAGCCGTGCGCGGAGAGAGACGGCTGGAGCGGCGCGACAGAGAGGGAGCATCGCTCGGGCGCCTTATTTTTAGCAGCATGCGGCACGCGAACTCCCCACTCGGGAACACTTTTCCGGGGGGCAGGAACAGTTCCCCATTGTTTTTGCATGCGCGTGCCTCAGCGGCGTCGGCAGCGCTGCCTGCGTCGGCGCCAGCAGCGCAGTGGCGATGCAACGACGGCCGAACGAACGGCAGCGTTCCGTTCCTATAACAAGTTTTTAGTACGTGTTCCGCCGTGTCAGCAGACAGTCGTGTGCCTCGGCTGCGTGTCGCCCGCAACAACACAAGCCACAGAGCAACAAAAGCATAACAACAAAAGATTACAAAAAACAGCAACAAACGACTCCAGAACTCGGTTGGGGCAGCTCTGAATTTCACCCTCGTCGCAATAACCCATTAAAAGCGTAATTTTTTGAGAGTGCAATACGTGTTCGTTCGGTTCCAGAATTCCAGAAATCCAGAATTCCAGAATTATCGAAATGTGAGCTAAAGACCCCGCGGAAAAATGTAGGAAAAGCCCGACGACTCTGGATGAAATCAAAAGAAAGCCCAAAATAAAAATATCCCAATAACAGAAAAATACGTTACGTTGTTTGTTATTGTGTGTGCCCCATAGTTAACGAGTGTGCTGGCCAGCTTCCTGTGCAACCGGTCTGCGTCTGCGAAAGAGGGGCTGCCGCTCCGTCCAGCATCCGACGCAAGTTGCACCTGCAACAGAAAAAAATTCGAAACAACTAAAAAATAAAAGCAATTTAAAGAAGTTGAAGTTGGCCACCCAAACCCGTTTCCGTGGGGAGAGAAAAGCCAGCGACTCCAAGGCCAAACACGATATCCACTTGGCCACAACCAACAGCCAAACACCTCACAGGACAACATAGCAAAAAACAGGAAAATACTTTCGTAAACAACTTTCCACATTTTTCTGGGCATTTTTCTTTATGGTAAGTCGCGTTCAAAGCCACTCAGGCACTCAAGAGGTATGCAGCCGCACGAGGTTATATGGCTTGCGAATTAGTTATTACCCAAAACTATCCCCAAAACTCAGTTTTAGTGACTAATAGAATCAACGGGGTATTTGAGTATTCACCTTTGGGGTGGGGTATTTTTAAAGGGCAGACTAATTTAATTTTGAAGTGTATTTGAGTCCGACACGCTTCTATAAACTATTGTATTGCAATTATTTGTCGTGCTGTAGCGTACGAGTAGTACCCAATTTGCCACTCTCTTCGTTTTCAAAGGAGCTCGCGGAAAAGTTTCCTTTATGTCGAAAAGGTAAACTGAAGAAGAAGCCCGGAGGGTTCGGTGGGGTTAAGACGTCTGAGCCTGGCTGGAAGGCTCGCTTAAGACCGAAACTGTTTCTCCTTCATATTTGATGCAGCTAAGTATGCTATGCTTTGCTTTCCCATTTGCCATTTTCCATTCCGGCTTTTCCCTGCCTTGTTTGCCTTGCATTTAAGGGGCTGTTGCTCGAGTGCAAGTGAAATCCAAGCCCGCCAATCAGCCAATCCATCAATCAATCAATGCAAAATGACTTGTATCTTTTTGCTGGGTGCGGGTGTTCATGGTGAAAATGTTTCGAGTCAATTAGGATAGGCGCCCACGTCATAAGTGAGGCAGAAGGCAGGCAGGTGGGCGGTGTCCAGCGGTCAGAGGTCAGAGGTCGTATTCCGCTTCCGGACTTCGCTAATGGAATGAAAGACCGAATGCCCGAACTCCGCAGCTGAGCGAATTCACTTTGGCGTTCTCACTTATGAGGCCTCTATGAAGTGTAGGTTCTCGTGAATTTAATATCAAACACCTAAGCGTCAGAATCAAATAGTTTAGTTTTTAGTGCAGTCGTTTGCCTTTAAGTCTTGGCTTCCTTTGTTTACTATTCGCACATTTTTGACTGATATTTAACTATCTTTGCTTCCAATTGAAACTAATTGGAAAACGACACTCGGCATTCGTTTGCCTTTCAGGTAGATTATGGATTGTAATTTAAATAGTTGCCAAATCAAAGAACTTAAATCGTTCAATTCATACCCATCTAAGAGATTTCCGCAGTACGCAAAGATATTTTTTTACTAAATTCAAATGGGATTCAAAGCCAAGGTGAAAAAGTGGAAGACACAACAATCTTCGCATTTGCGGGGACAAGCACTTTGTGGGTTCACTTCTGGCAGATTGGGATTTGATTTGGTTGGGATTCTCTCGCAATTTAATTGTAGTTTCCGAGCGATTCACTAAAAAGTCTGTGGAAAACGCCCTCTTGCTTCCCACTCCATTAACTTTAAGCCAATTGCCGAAATGACAAAAACCAACAGCAACAAAAATCTTGTTTGTCAATCAAATTTTTCAAGTGGAGACCACAACAAAGCGAACGGGTGATGGCGAGCAGCGAAAGGAGGGAAGGGGGAGGGGGAGGGGAGGGGGTGGTTGGGGAATTTGGATAACGTGAGCGACGAAAACCTCAACCAACCAAGCAGACCAAAAGTATTTCCCTCCTTCTCGCTTTTTCTCCTGGTGTACAACATTTTTCCCTGCATTCTTCGAGTCATAAAATTTCTGATTTTTTCAAGTCAAAACTTTTCTAATCAAATTAAGAATTTCAGAAATGAGTGGGTGGGTGGGTGGTTGTGGCGGTGCGATGCTGTGAAAGTGAAAATTATCCAAGTCAATTTAAAGTCTTATACTGTGCAGTTCATATCGCGATACTTCTTTGAATTTGTATTGTTTGAAATCAGCTAAAAACTAAGCAATATTTTAATCTATTTAATTAAATCCCGAAAATGATGGAGTAAAGTACACAAAGTAACGTAGGAAAGTGTCAAAGCTATTGGAAAATTTGCGTAGATCAGAAGCGTGGAAAGCGGGCTTCAATATTCAAAATTAGAAACGTATGAACAAGCTCAAAAGTAAAACAATAAATCCAGCCAATACTCGGCAAATGAAATCCGCTTAAGCGCACACAACTCCACAGACTTCTCAACTCTGATCCCTTGCCAGTGATTTAACGACGTGAAACGCACTGTGCTGCCCCATAAAAATGTTCATCATCATTTGTTGCTTCGCCCAACTGCAAATGGGCAAAAGTTTACACATCTCAATGACCTTGGGCACCAGAAACACCCACCAGAAAAACCACCGCCCCACGCCAAAAAAAAATATTTTTTTATAAATACGATGCGAAAAGCGGAGCGGAAAAAAATAGAAAAGTTTGCTGCATAAAACTGAATTACCGGAAATTGGCCAACAAAATAAAAGGGAAATAAACGGCAATGCGAAAAAATGCTGGAAGCTCTTGGCCTGGCCAAAGTAGGTGGCCAAATGGAGGAGAGGAACGGAACGGAAAACTTTTTTACCTACTTTGGAAAGCGAGAAGAAGCTGAAGCTGAAGCTCGGGAAAAAGTGAAAAATACCCACGTATATAGGAACTTGTACATAAACAAGCGTAGAACCAGCGCAGAAACTTTACTCGGCGGCGAGATTGGAAAAATAAGGCAGCGGCCACTTGAGAACGAAAATTAAAGCGATGCTAGGAAATAAAACAGAAATCTATTTACTCGTTTATCGCAGAATGAATTAACCTATTGACAAACGAAACATTGCTTGAGAACAGATACAGAACTACATATAGGTAGAGGGAAAAACTGGGCCCCAGAAAGTATGCTAACATTTCTGCACTTTCTTGGGCTCACATTAAAATTTTGCGTGCCTTTTTGCGGCTCCCGCTGTTTTTGTTGTAATTGCAAGTACGCCACTTGCTTTTGACACCTGCTTTTCATTCTGCGGCAGGGGCATGGAAATTCGTGGCGAGGGGTGTCATTTATTATGACCAGCTTCTTGGCCTTTCCGCCCACAAGCCCACCAGCCCACCAGCCCACAATGCCGCTTTCCCGGGTTCCCGCTCCACCGTTTTCCCTTCTGCTCTCACTTTTTCCTTCGCTGTTGTTGGCTGTCGACGTTTGTAATTGACATGAAAATTTAATACCATAATTTTATTTTGCACTTGGCCTACGCTACCACCCACCACCCACCACGCCCACCGCCCGCCGCCCACCAACTTTGTGCTTTTTAGATTAGAAAAGTTTTGTCCTTGTTTGTAATTTTTATTTTTTATTTTATGTATACATTTGGGTTGCTTTGTTCTTGTTTTTCTACGCCTATGCAGCTTGGCCGAGAAAAGGGCAAAGTTTTCGGTGAACTCGAAAGTGTTTGAAGTGGACAGAACTGCAGTTTTTTTGTCGCTTTTCCCCCGCCTTTTTCGATTTTTCGTTATCGATCGGTATTTGTCGGAAAAAAAAACCTTCTTAGGCCCCAATGTTATTGTAATGGGAAATGGCATAACATTCTGTGAAAACTTGCCAATATTAACACTTTATTCTTGTGCGGTTTTCCTTTTCTTAGCACTTAGTTATTTTTAAAGCCCGGAGTAAAGTAAGAGGCTCCAATTTGGCAGCGATTGAGTTGAGTCCGTCTCATTTGGTTACTTTTCATTTGTTTGCCAGAGAGGATTTTTATTTCACTCCGCTGCAGTGAAAATATTTGATGTTTTTCCCGGCAGGGTTTCCCTCCGATACTCCTCGTTTTTTTTTCTTCGTCCGTATTTTTTTTGTTTTGTCTGAAGTTTGGGCCTTCATTTGAGCAGAAAATCGCGTCGCTCGCTGCCGGCGCTTTCTGCATTTGAATGACCTGGCAGCGAAAGAGCATGCTTAATAATTCAATTCATAGGCCCGGTCACGAGAAGGAGTCACGGAATACGAAACAAGGCAAAAAAAAAAAAAAATATATATATATATGTATATATATACGAAACACGGGTGGAAGCCCAGCGCAAAAGGAACGTTATCCCCGAAGAGTCCTGGCATCCTTGAACAGAGTGACATCGTCCAGGAAGAGGGTCCAGCCCTCCACTTCCTCCACCTCCACATTAGGAGCCAACAAAACGGCCAGCAGGATATTTTGTTTTGTTTTTCCTGCCGCTGTCTGTTTGCTCTGTTTGCCTTCATTTGCATACACAATTTTGTACAACCTGCGAGCGTTTATTCGCCGACATCCTGGCCGTGTTTTTGTCCATCTTATTTCGCTTCGCAACGCACTCTGTTTTGTTGGCTGCCACAAAAACTATTAATAAAGAGGCTCTTCGGAGAGCAATTTACAACTGACTCTAAGTTATTGGACACTGTGCATTCCTCATACTCGGGTCTTTCCTTGAAAGCCAGGCAACCAACAAGAGCTGCAAAACACATCCTGCTCAGCAAAAATTCCGCTCATTTTGCTGGGAAATTTAATTTGCTTTAATTTGCCAAATGAAGCCTAACTTTAGGCGCACACGAACAGACACACAGACAACACACATACACATACACACACACACTAGCTTGGTTGAGCTAATGCTTTGTTAATTTAGTCGGGCCCAAATACCAAAAAGAGATTTTTGAGCTCATTGAGTTTTACGCAGAGCGACGAACTTATCTCCCTTCACTTCCTTTTTTTAATTTCGCTTGATTCGGAAAGATTTGCAGGCAAAGTTCTGCACTCGTACAAATAAAAACGAACTACAAATTAGAATGGGCGAATTTCAACTACATATTTAACTTAATAAGGAAGCCATTGAGTTAATGCTTCGTACACTGGGCAAAATCAGCGGGCACTGCCTTGATTTAAGTCCGTCGAAGGGGCGAACAAGAAAACTGCCTCGAGGCAAGTGAAAAGCTGGGAAACAGTTGGCAAAACGGATAGTGCACTGGGAAGGGGGAGGGGGAGTGAGGGGGCGGGGTCATCCCGTTACTATCCAATCACTTACTTCACTCACTCATTCATTCATTCGCACATTCATTCATTTTGGGCTCGCACTCGGACTCTCGGGTCGACTTTGCATTTAAATCAATTTAAGCGTTTTACAGTCAGTTGAACCTTTTGTGCTTCATGTCATGTGCACACAGACACACTCACAGAC